AAACCAAGATACAAAGAGAATAAGTGTCTTGCTAGAGGGAACCAGTGTGAATTTTCCTAGCTTGGAAATCTGTGCTTAGACAATGTGATGGGGTGGAGTAGGCCCTGATATCCCAGCTGGAGACCTTTCCGCCCTCTACCCAGCAACCGGAACAGAAGAGAGGTCCTCCAAGCAGAATAGAGTGGCAGCCTCTGCTGCAGCCAATCAGGGTGCAGCAGGTGGATATAAAGGAAGAGTCTGCCAGTTCCTTCCTGGAGCTCAATCCAGGCAGAGGGTGAAGACTAGCCGGTAAGCCAGTGGCAATCCTTTGCAGAACATTGGACAGGGAGGACTTGACCAAAAGGCCCAAGAGAAAGGGCTAGACATAGCAGCTTCCTGGGGAAGTGGCCCAGGGAATGTGGCAGCAACTGACCTCTTTGAGACTCAGCAGGTAACTGCTACTTATAGGGTCCCTGGGCTGGGACCCAGAGGAGTGGGCGGACCTGGGCCCCCCCCAACACCCAGCAACCACAAAGGGGGTAAGAAGAAGCCTGGTCCCAGGCCGAGACTCCCCTTGGCTACAGAGGGGCGCTCACAAGAAGGGCGGGGCTCTTTACAGACAATTTCATGTTTGTTGCTGCTCCCAGCACCGCCCCTCCCCTTTGCTGCCTCTGATACAGTGGGGGGAGGGTCTTATTGTTTAGTTGACTACTTGCTTACATCCCTAATAAGTAATATTTCAGGTATTCTTAGATTTGGTCAGTAGAATTATGCTATCTTATGAAATTAAGTTAAGCTCTGATCAAAATTAATTGAGCCCATGGGTTCATTTAGTTGATTGGCCTTCAGGCTTTTAGATTGTAAACTCTTGGGGTGTGTCTAGACTACATGCCTCCTTCGACGGAGGCATGTAGATTAGCCAGATCGGCAGAGGGAAATGAAGCCGTGGGGAGTCTGGCCGCGATGCCCCGACAAAGAAGCCTTTCTTCATCGACACAGGTAAGCCTCGTGAAACCAGGCTTACCTGTGTCGATGAAGAAAGGCTTCTTTG